TCTAGTGTTCTTAGTCCCGGGTACAAATCCCGGTCGTGACAAAATCAGTTATTGGCTCTTTCTTTCAAGAAAATTTTAGTAGCAGCACGAAGTCAGGAAGTTGTCGATGTTTCCTTTAGTTCTTCGCATCATCCATCTCCAGTCGAGTCGGATTGCCGTTCCATAGTATTATGAGAGAGAAGAAATAAGGAGCGCACCCTGCGCTTACGTACACACTTGTGCAATATAATCCTGTCCCGAGTAGATGCCATGACGAATGGAGGCCATTGTGACCAAAATTCACATTCACAATAATATCCTATTTTTTTTCCTTTCCCCCTAACTCTCGTCCGGTTTCTTTGCCTTTCGCCCTAACCCCCAGCCGTTTAGTCTCGCCTGCCGAGGGCTTCTGTCTGGTTCGCTTTTAATTTGTTTACGTACTGTTTAGGTATTTATTTCACTATATTTACACACACACACACACACACACACACACACACACACACACACACACACACACACACACACACATATATATATATATATATATATATATATATATATATATATATATATATATATATATATATATTGATTATCATTTTCATTTATATATTTATACAGCCTAACCAAACGAGAAAACTATTTAAATATCTTATATTGTTATTAAAATATGTGGCATAACGTACATCTTGTTCGATTAGTAAGAGGTACCTATACGAGGACGGCACTGAAAAATTCGGGAATCAAGGAATTGACACATTACTATTTAAAAATGTATTTATTGCTTTCCGAAGTATTCTCCGCGAAATTTGACACATTTTTTTATACGATGGAACCAATCATTGAAGCAACCATTCCATTCGGAAGTTGGGGTCTCCAAAATCGCCGTTTTGTAGGCGTCCACAGCTTCTTCAGGTGATGAAAATCTCTGTCCATGCAATTTATTCTTTATTTTAGGGAAAGTATAGAAATCATTAGGGCTTAGGTCGGGGCTGTACGGCGGATGGTCTAATAATTCTGTGTTTTCTTGCTCTAAAAACTCTTTTGTTCTGTGTGCGGTGTGAGAACTCGCATTGTCGTGATGGAGGATGATGCGGAGGTTGCAGTTCTCTTTACGGAGTTCAGAAACGACCTGTGGCAAACAAATGCTAGCATACCATTTTGCATTAACCGTTCTTTGTTCCTCAAGAGGAATAGTCGTAACATGTCCGGTTTTGGAGACAAACGTGGCCACCATTTTTTTTGCAACACTCCGTGAACGAACAATTTTTGTTGGCTTTAACTCATTTTCGAACACCCAAACTAGTGACTGGTTTTTTATTTCGGGTTCGTACGCGTATATCCAGGATTCGTCACCTGATACAATGTTGTATACAGCATTTGAGGATCCTGCGTGGAATCTTTCGAGAGTTCTGACGCACCAAGTAACGCGAGCCGCTTTTTGCTCTTCACAGAGCGAATGCGGTATCCATCGGGAAAACAACTTTTTTACACCTAATTGTTCATGCAAGATTATTTGTATTTGACTCATGCCAATGTCTAAAGTTGCCTGAATTTCGCGGTATGTCACATGTCGATCTTTCTCAATCAGCTTACGCACAGCATTAACGTTTTCTTGGGTGACTGCAGTTTTTGGACGACCTTGACGGGGATCATCACTGAGCTTGACACGTTCACGTTGAAATTCAGCAAACCAGCGATAAATTGTGGTTTTGGATGGGGCTTCATCACCAAATGCAGAAATCATCCGGTCAACACACTGTTTTTGTGTTAAACCACTTCGAAAGTCATAATAAATCATCGCTCTTGAATTTTCTCGAGTCAATTCCATTTTCTCAACGATTAAACAAGTTTGATAAAACCTTGTGACAAGACCGAGAATCTTTTTTTAAATAAATAAATGGTATTCGATTTTTAAAACCAAGGAGTTTTCAATTAAAAAAATTTATATGACAGGAACAGTGGAAATATACCATTCTCGATACTTTTAGTGCAGCCTAGTATGGATGGTAGAAATGAATCAATTCATCGTGATACACTATTTGTTGTGAGGACATTCGCCAAACATTCTAATAACAGTTTGCACTGTACCCTGACATTTCTTGAGCGGTGACCATGATACGAAATCACAGGCTTGCATTGTGAAATCACAGGTTGTGATACCGAATGGAGCAAGTTCTATTGTGTCGTAGGGCCGTCCCGCCCTCGCCATATCTCACTACCTGACTTCCGTCGCGTGGTTTACGGCGACTGCGCGATATAACTGCTACTTGATATTTGTTTCCATTATAACACGTCATTTAAAAATCCGTTCAAATCGTAAAAAGCAAAACGCCTGACTTTTTCTCGGATATCCTCATTTAGAACTACCTATCACGTAGAAAAATTCTTTCTTCTCTCATTTTCATCTCATTTTGCATCAGACTGATTTAATTTTCCAGAATTGTAACATTTATCACAAGCAATAAATATCTGTAGAAAAGGTACAATATTATATATATATATATATATATATATATATATATATATATATATATATATATATATAATAATAATAATAATAAATTTGTTTATTTACCAGAAAACACGTAGCCAAAATACAATAAGTTCTGTGACTCCCACACTAGGCATGGCCTGTCTCGTGGGGGTCAAGCAAAAGATTTTACAATTGATCAAAGTGGCTATTTGTCGAAATTACGTAAAACAATTATGTGCAGCAAAGCAAAAATGACTTAAAAATTTATGAAAAATTACAGACATAACAAACAGATTCTAATTAAAAGGGGCGCGCGTGTACTTGTGGGTGAATGTGTATGAATGTGTGTGTGTGTGTGTGTGTGTGTGTGTGTGTGTGTGTGTGTGTGTGTGTGTGTGTGTGTGTATGTGTGTGTATGTGTATGTGTGTGTGTGTGTGTGTGTGTGTGTGTGTGTGTGTGTGTGTGTGTGTATGTGTGTGTGTGTATGTGTGTGTGTGTGTGTGTGTGTGTGTGTGTGTGTGTGTATGTGTGTGTGTGTGTGTGCTAGCATGCCTGTTACATAATTCTCTAAAAATTATAAGTAAAAGGGTGAGAGATTGCAATTGGGGATAAGCTGAGTGGTTAGGTAGCCCTACGATTAAATTCTTGGGATCGGACGACAGGGCATGCGTCAGTGCAGTCCACTACCATTTTAACACCTATTTAAGGGTCACCAATATTTCTTCTAATTTCTCATAGTCCCAAGTCAATAAATGACCTCTCATTTTTATTTTAGCCTCATAAAGTTGGGATCGTTTTAAGTCGTATAAGTTGACTAATTTGTTGTAGATGCGAGGGGATTGGAACAGTGTGAAATGACGTGCGAAAGATGTTTTAACTAAGGTTGTGGGGATCTTAAATACTCTTTAATTTATTAATGTATTAAACGTCGGCAGTTTTGAAGCTTGCTTGTGCATAAATGTAAAGGCCCTCAGAAGATACAATCTACGGACACTTAAAACTTGAGCTTCTCTAAAGAGATCTGACGTATGATAGCGCCTTGGTTTACCCATAGCTACCTTCAAAACTGCCCTCTGGGCCCTTTCCAGTACTATCAACGTAGAGGAGGATATACCACCCCACGCCAGTATACAATGGCTAAGTACGGACTGACATAGTGCAAGGTAGACGGACTTTAAAATGCTGCCATCAGTAGAATCTCTCAATAGTCTCATCGCGTGTATCAGCTTACGGACCCTGGCTGATGTCACCGATATATGACTTTTAAAGTTAAGATTTTCATCTATTATAATGCCTAAATATTTAAGGGAGCCGACCCTATTTATCTGGTCACAGTTACAATTTGGAGAGCTCACGGAGCGAAAACTACAGTTGTCGTTGTGTACTTTAAGGCTATTGAAAAGTGAGGGTGGCGGTTCAGACGCTGCAGTTTTATGAAAACAAATTAACTGCGTTTTTGAGGTGTTCAGTGTTAAGATGTTGTTATTTAACCATTTTTGTAATTTATACAACCCGGAGATGGCTGAAAAATAGGCGTCGTACCAAGATTTACCATAGAATATTATGGCTGTATCGTCAGCATAACATACAACCTCACTATTTTCAAGTTGAATTGACATAATATCATTAATGTACGAAATAAAAAGAGTCGGCCCCAAGATGCTACCTTGAGGAACACCAAAATCTACAGATCTAAGATCGCTTGCCTGATCGCCTATTTGGACGCATTGCTTTCTATCCGACAGATAGCTGGAAAACCAGTTTAGAGCTAGACCACGAATCCCAAGAGCACTTAATTTCTTAAGGAGGATGGGGATGGATACCGTGTCGAATGCTTTAGCCAGATCGAGAAAAACACCGACACAGGATCGACCCTGATCGAGATGAGTTACAACCATATCTGTGAGAAGAGTTACTGCGTCCTCAGTTGATTTTCCCTGGCGAAAACCGAACTGACGGTCCGAGAGTATGCTATTCTTTTCAAGATAGTTAGTCAGCCGCTTATGGACTACACGTTCCAGGAGCTTCGAGTAACTACCCAGGAGTGATACGGGTCGGTAATTACAAGGATCGTCCGTAGCTCCATTCTTGTATATGGGGGTAACTGCCGCAACTTTCCACTGGCTTGGGAAGACTCCCGATGAGATACTTAAGTTAAATATCGCAGCCAGGGGCTCCGCGATTGTGTGGGCCACTGATTTTAAAAGTTTGTTAGTGATGCCGTCCATACCAGGCGCACTACCTGAATCAAGACACCGGATAAGACCCAAAACTTCCAGTTCATCTGTAGGATTCATGAAAAATGAACCAACGGGTTGATCAGGAATGTGTACTTTTTCGGCAAGGGACTCTTGAGTCTCATTTAATTTCAGCATGATAGAGTTTGCCAGCTTATTACCTACAGAAGCAAAGTAGGAGTTGCAAACATTGAGAGACTCTTTTACGGAGGGTCTTGAGTTGATGAGAGCCAGGTTAGAACTTGAGCTAGTGTCTTTGCCAGTTATGCGGTTAATAGTACCCCAGAGTTTTTTTGGAGCATATTTATTTTTGATTATTTCTTTTTTTGTTGTAATCACGTTTTAGTCTTCTAATTAGATCTATGTAAAAATTTCTATAGCGCGTATATATAAGTTTTTTAGTTGGGTTGTTTGGGTCCTTGCGATATTCTATATGAAGCTTATCGCGGTGTTTAGAGCATCTGATTAAACCAGGAGTCATCCAGGGGTGTAAGGTAGTTCTGGAGCGGCTTATTACACAAGTTTTTGAATATCTCAATATTGCCTCTGATACCGTCTTAGTAAAATGAGTTACAGACTCTTCAAGAGAGCTGCAGTTTATTACTGTTGACCAGTCCGTTCCTTCCAGCTCTGATCTTATTGAGTCTATGTCAACTATTACTCTTGATCGAATAGGTTTTGGTCTTTTTGGTTTGTGTGTCTTTAACATTATGCCTGCCATAGTGATATCATGGTCAGTGGCAGCATTGAGATAGACTACGGACTCCGCATTAGATTTTACGGGTACAAAAATGTGATCTATGCAGGTTTGGACCCGAGTTGGTTTGGTTATAGCTGGAAAAAGTCCGTACTCTGCTAATACATCTAAGTACTCCGTGTGCAAGTTTATGTCAGCTGCAGACCCAATAATATTTAAGTTTATGTCTCCAGCAAAAATAAGACAAGGAGAGGGACTAACCGTTTTTAAGTTAGCGTCAAGAGAGCGAATAAATATTTCTGGGTTGGTGTAACTAGGTGATCTGTAAGCGGCTACTACTGAGAAGTGATTTGCAACTTCTGCGAGAATACAATTACCCTCGTCAACGTTCAGCTCAGAAAAATTGGCTGACCACCTATCTCTTATGTAGATAGCGACTCCTCCTGCCCTGTTAATATACTTTTGAGAGTAAAATGATGTAAATCCTTGCAATAGGGGGACCGTCACAAACTCATTAAGCCAGCACTCGCTGAAGACAATAGCGTCGAAATCAAGATCCAACCTTTTTAGGGTTACGAGGAAATTATCAAAATTTTTACGCATGCTTCTTATGTTCATGCTTAAAATCCTAAATGAAAATCTAGACAGAACGTCTTTACAATCCTCTGGGACCGTTATGTAGTGGCACTTTATCTGAGATGAGTTATCTATAGCATCTAACAATTCTAGGGAAGCCATGGGAAGATCATGAAAAATTGGTTGGAGTATTTTGGCATTAAAGGAGAGAGTGCCATATAAACATAAGAAGGGGTGTAGATAACCACGAAATATTTTGAGGAATGTACCATGGGGTAGAAGATGTGTAGGTGTGTTAAAATGTGTGTGTGATTGCGCTTACAATTGTGAAAAGTTAAATTCAAAGTTATAATAAGTATGATGAGTATATAAGTAAAAATGGCGACCATATGGATTGCAATTATATATATATATATATATATATATATATATATATATATATATATATATATATATATATATATATATATATATATATTCTTCTTCTTATACACTGCTGCTGCCCACTGCTAGAACCTGGATCTCTCCTGTTGTTTGTGAGTTACGCTTGGGAGGCGTATTAACGAACGCAGTACCAGACGTGTCGTAACTGACGCTTCTACCCGACACCAGTCCGAAGATTTTATGCGTGTTGTAAACGAAATAAATGATTTCTTTTGAAATTAATGCGAATAAGTAAACTTCTTGTAAATCGCACAGTAGTGGACCGCCAATAATTCACCTAGATGGATGATTTACAAGAAGTTTTCTTCCTCACATCCTCATTTCTTCTCTTCACAACTTCCTTGTGGAATCGACTATACCACCAGCGATTTTCGGACCCGTTTACCGGTTTCAGACCGATACGATTTAGGGACCTTCAAGAACAGAGCCTACTTTTTTGAGGCCTGCAACACATCTGAAATTCTCCTGGTGTTGCAGATTTCATGGGCGGCGGTAGTCACTTAGGTGAGCCTATTCATAATCATTTGCCCTTCTCATATAAATAGTATAAAAAAATTTACGCCATCTATAAGAAGCTCAAACTCTTTCTGATATTTCCCATAGTCCCATATGATAATATGGGTCAACACAGGGGCCGATATAGACATCATAATCTAATTCACAAAGGAAAATTCACAATACTATCAACATTATGGGAGTTATATACTTCCAATGTAAAAACCGGTTTTCAAAGACCAGTAACGCACTTGAGATTAGTGCTCGTTGCTTTATGATCGTTTGCCTTATTTTCTAAAAAAAAATGAAAGAATGGGCTTGAGAATGTAACTAAAGTTTTCATTTATTCAAAAATAAAAATAGTATTTTATCGGGTTAGTCGTAAATGGAAATAAGATGCATGGTAGTAAAGAAAATGGCGGGAGTATTATAATACGGCACGCCCGCGGCACGCGACCCGTGACGCTCGCGTTCGCCGCACTACTTACACACGTTGACATTAGTTATTAAGCTGATTGATTACTGGAGTAAACAATAACAAAACTGGAAAGAACAATATGCCCTCCCCCCCCTAAAACATTTAGATTACGACAAAAATAGCTGCATAACGCAAATAAGCTTCAATAGCTAAAATCATTGAAGCTGATATAATATGACTGTTATTAAATTACCTGGTAAGATACTTAAAAAAGTTAAAAATTTACACGTGTAGCTAAAAAAAATTATTGTAATTCTTTCAGCGTTAGCAATCGGTTAACTGTAATACAGAAAAATATTATTTACCATTGTTTCTTGTTGCTCTGTATAATGTCTCACATTTCGAGTTGATAGTAAAGTTAGTTTACAGCCTATATACGTCCCACTGCTGGGCACAGGCCTCCCCTCATTTCTGAGAGGGATTTAGGAAGGAAGTGTCCCCTGCCAATGGTTGTGAACTTACATGTCTTCGAAATATTTTTTTTTCCTCAGATGCAGCTTCCTCAGATGTTTTCCTTCCCTATTTTTGATATTTTATTTTTTTCTTATTCGTATGCATATTTTTTTTATAGAGCCAGGAAAAAAAGTAATGTTACTTTGTTTATCATTCTCAATAGACTTTTGGCGATGGAACGCGATTTATATGGCTCAAAGGCCCAGAACCATGCCAAAATATATTAAAAACGTGTTTTACACGTTACTTTTCAGACTACAAAAACTTGTTCATTCGTCATGTGGTTTATGAATGTTCAAAGTAACCAATTTCCTTTTTTTATAACTTATTAATTTATGACTAAATACGATTTTAATTGTATTATACTATGGTGTGGAAAGAAAAATAAGTGTACAGACCTTAATTGACAGCAGCTGTTATAACCTCAAACTTTTATTTACATAACAGCATTTTTCCCTGGCCTCTAAACGAAAAGATGATAAGTTATTATGTTATTATAAACAATAATTGTTTTTATACAACAGTAGTTGTAGGTAGACGCGACCTGTTAAAAAATCAAGTTACAGGTCAATCAATGTATGGAAAGTGGGCATGATTCTTTAAATCTGCCAATTATCTAACTACGCCACGGGTTGACTGGCAGATTATTTCAACAGGCATTAAGTTCATCTGCTATTAGCGTAGATATAAGGAGTTGGACTCGGAGGAGTTGGAGAGGAACTTACTTGAAATCACAGATGATATCTGCTGGGGTATGGACCAAAAGCAGCTCACTATACTTACGCTACTGGATTTCAGTAACGCTTTTAACACCGTCGATTTTGATGTATTGCTGAGTCTGCTAGGTTCCATTAACATATCTCCAGCGGCAATTAGATGGTTTCAAAGCTATTTGCGTGGCCGCCAGCAGCGGGTTATGGTAGTGGGTGCCACATCTTCGTGATGTGATCTAACTGCAGGTGTACCACAGGGTGGCGTGTTGTCTGCTCTCCTTTTTTCTGTGTTTATTGATTCTGTTACTTCACAAATTTCTTCTCTCTACCATTTGTATGCAGATGATCTCAGATGATCTCAAATTTATTCCATACATCACTCCAGAATCTTTCCAATGCCATTAATAACACTAATACGAATCTTGGCGCAATACACGATTGCAACAAGTGGTTCGGGCTTAATTTAAATCCCAATAAGACTTAAGTCATTATTGTTGGAAATAGCACTGTAATTTTTAAAATTTGTTGGGATAACTTACCACCTACTGTTATTGATGGTGTCGTGATACCTTTTAGTAAATCTGCAAAAGACCTAGGATTATACACTGATCAGAATCTTTCTTAGTCCCTGCATATTAAGGAGTCCAGTAGGAGGATGTTTGCGGCATCATCTACCTTACGACCTTTGCGTAACTCGCTACCAATTCATACTAGGATTTTACTGGCACAGTCGTTGTTACTCCCTATCCTTAATTATGCTGATATATGCTATTCTAATCTTACTGAGGACCAGTTAAATAAACTTGAGCGTCTTCAGAATTTCGCTATTAGTTTCATATTTGGCCTTCGCAAATATGACCATGTTTCCGAGTTTCATAGTAAATTCAAGTGGCTTCCTGTCAGACTTCATCGGAATACTCACAATCTATCTCTACTATACTGTGTACTATTTGATCCTAAAAACATCGAGGTTAAAGAAAAATTTGAGTTTGCGGACGCAAATAAAGATCCTTCCAGATTACCCGATAAACTTATTTTGCTAAAGAGTCTTTCAAAAAATGGTCGAAAATTCTTATTATTTAAATATGTATTCTACTTAATATATTTTATTGTCACATCTACTATTCTTGATAAGTTTTGTGTATATATGGTATGTATATAGCTGTAATTTGTTACAACAATATTTATATGTGTGTATAATATTATTTATCTCATTATTACATCTTCTCATATACGACATGTAGCTTATACTATTAATATATACTTGTTTGTCTACTATTTATGCACACTTCTATATGTTTAAATGAAAAAGATCTCCTTCACCAAGGGTTGCCTAAAAGAGATTGCTGTTTAGCGATAAGGCTACCTAATTGTACATTTTATAAATTTTATTTTGTTGTGTTTTATAATTTTTTGTGTGTTATAAAGAGTATGATAATAAAGTTGAAGTTTCAGTCGTGCGGTGGTTTGTACAAATTTACAATATTGCGTATACGTTAAATTGAATAGAATTGAAAAATTCCACAGTTTCGTTAAAGAATGCGGTAGGTGTAGCTACGAGGAACTTTGTCAGAAACTTTGAAAGGTATCATGCTAGAAATCCCACTACCTACAATCAAAATACGCAAGTCAGAAGTAATCTAAGAATTTCTAAATGAAATCTATCAGAAGTGTGTCCACCATAAAACCGTTACCGACACTACGTAGTAGGAAAAATCAAAGACATAAAAACTCGACGGAAATACACATCACAACGTACCGACGTCGGACTATAAAAGCCTGTAATTATTACTCCTCACCGGATACGATACAAAAACATGGCAACACCGGGCATCGGGTTGAAAGAAAGTGTGCGCCTCAATCATTGGCACGAGCCGAGCGCTTGAAGCGCTCCGCAGTATTAATTTTTAACTACTCTGTTTTTCTGCAATCAAAGCACGGTATAAATTGTCAGTTGCCGCGTAATTGATTGTTCGATTACGGTTTTTATAATAAAATATTACAAGCATTTTATAATGAGCTATTTACCCATTTATCTATTCAATATTCTTATAAAACTGTAGTGACGAACGAACTACAGTCCACCTGCTGGTAAGTGGCTACTGCCGTCCATGTCATGAGCTGTCACCTCTGAGGACTAAGGTGGAATGCATCACAGCCTGTTATTAGCTCCCAATACGTTTTAGACCGTAGCCAGTGCAGATAATGCTATTTGGTAGCAGAAGTGGTACGTTCCAAGACGGACTCCTCGGCAGAAAGAATTTCCTACCACCAATTAAATAACAAGTAGGAAAATAAAACATTTTGTACAACCGAATTAAATAAGAACGCATCATTGTATACGAAGTCAACTAAATACGCACTATTAAAGATAAATTAAAAACTTCTGATTTCTTATATTTACGCTAACACTACACATTTAAATAATACTAGCTTTTACGGATTTTATCGCGTATGTT